TGGCATTTAAAGGAGCCTTTTTCTTGTCTCTGTATGTAGAGAAGCTATTATATGAGCAGTGTTAGGGGGAGGAGGGGGGGTGAGTGTTCAGGATGCTATGAATGGAGGGGTTCTGAAGAATAATAAGACATATCTGAAATCTGACAGAAGATGCCTTGGTGTCTGTCTTGCTCCTTTAGAGAGGGAGAGAGGAGAGTGGGAGGGGGGTAGTAGCTGTAATGCTGATAGTGGGTTCTCTTGGGATTAAAATTCGAAATAAAAGAAATAATTTTATTTCGACTTTTTTTTTGCCAGCGACATGCTAGATTACTTTGACAAAACTGTGTTATTTGTTGTGCAGTGTTAACGCGTTTAATCCTTTGCGTTGAAAGGTGTAGGTGCCTCTGGTGCTGAATGGGTTAATGCAATTATTTCTCTGCCTAATTATAAGGTACTCCTGGAACAGAGCTTAACAAACAGAAATGGCAGAGCAGGTCCGGAGCGGTGGCATTAACCCCTGCACTCCTTTCTATGCATGGCGATGATGTACAGTGTACATAGCTCATTATCCAGAGTATGTGTCACTGTGTGTCTATTTATACCTCTATGGTTTATTGTGTGATGTATGGACTGCCAAATGTAAATCAGATATATAAAAAAAATGCTTAGAATCTTTCAATATCCTCTGTTAACCCCTTAAAGGACAACGGTCCCCTCCACACTATATTTTTTTTAAATATAATAATCATTTTATCAAGTTTTGAAAAGAAACAGATTCTTTGTAAAATGGTCTTCCCTGCTTCACTCCCTGCACAATGCAGTTACATAATCAGAGCAACTAACTATTATTATTATTTTATTATTTATATAGAGCCAGCAAATTCCGTAACGCTGTACAATGGATCAAAGTCAAACACTGCCTGGCCCAAGGTGTATGTATACGGCAGAAAGACCCTGTCATATACTAAAGGAAAGTTACATATACTTCATATACCTATAGTTATAGAAATGCTATGAATAAAGTTTGGGGTTTATTTGCTAAACTCTAAATTGCAGTGAGACAAAAACTAAATTTGCAGGGTTTTTTTTTTTTATTAATCTTTTTTTGTCCCTCTATCATTCCCTGATCTAATAATTTTTTTGGGAGATATTCACCTTAGTTCTTTAGTTATACATAGCAAATATTAGAGACTACTTTTTCTAATGGGGAGCGTGGTGTTTGGCATTCTTTGACAACTACTTACTCCAGCCATTGTGACTACTACTGCTTCTAGAAGTCGTCGTCATGGTGGTTTGAGCCTGTACGTGCAGCGTTTGTACTTGAAACGTTGCACATACAGAGATATTTTAACTTTCGTGCCAGGGGCTAGTTACACCCCCGACACACGTAGCTTAGGCAGCTTGGAACTCCGCTCCGGACGGCAAAATGTCAGTTCTGTGCAGAAAAATACATTTGTTGTTAGTGTGTGGAATCCAGCAAGGCGAACTTCACTCAACGGCTGGATTCCAGGTACGTTTTTTTCTTTCATTTAAAATATCACCCAATATGGTATTCTATATTTTAAAATCCAGTCATTTTATAAAGGGTTGGAGTAACAGTTTTAGGAAAGTTCCATTTAAGTTTCCACGCTAATTTACCCGCAATCCATCAGTCAAAAGAATCCTGCAGAAGGGCAACTGCAGACATCGTGGACAGAGGAGAACAAAATGGCTGCACCCAGGTATTAAGAATATAAGGAATGAAAGATAATATAAAAAATAATAACATAAGCAAGGCTAGTGGCAGGGGATGGAAGTATAGTTATTATGCTATAAGGAGCATAAGGAAATGAAAACTGGTGGAAGAAAAATATATTGACCGTATTCCCTTAAAGTTAAAATTATTAATTTGTAAACAAAATCCCCATTCTGGCTATAGTTATGGGTTGGCTTTTTTAGCTAAAATTGTGCAGTTTGAATTTCTATTCACTACAATTGGTTGTCTATTTAATATTCCCCAATGTTTTGTATTTATACCAGTATATATATATATTTACACCTTATCATTCTTTACATTTTTGTTTTGTTTTTCATTGCAATGTTTGCCATTTCAGTTTATGTTTTTGTGTATCTGTTCATGTCCGAACCAGGGGTGCCAAAAAGGTGGATGCCCAAATGCTGTAGAACAACAACTCCCATGGTACTTTGCATGTCTTTGGGATGCCTTTAGATTGGTAGAGCGTTATGGAAGCTGTACTTTTAAAACCTCTGAGGCCTACCTTTTGGGCACCCATGGTCTAAGTGAATGTTAAGCTTTAACCCCTTAAGGACACATGACATGTGTGACATGTCATGATTCCCTTTTATTCCAGAAGTTTGGTCCTTAAGGGGTTAAGCGGGAATTAATCAGGGATTTTCTAATTCTAGGCTAAAATAGCTGATCTCAATAAATAGCTGCATAACACACTTTTTAACGTTTTGGCCTACAATTTGTTATAGCCGAATAGATTCCTGACAATTCCCCATTTACTATAAACCATCAGTAAGTTATAGTCAACTGAAAATCAAATTACAAAATGTGTTCACAGTTTAGTGAAAACACCCTGTTTGACCAATATAAAAGATACTGAAATTGACTTCTGTATCTCTGGACCAATATGGTTATTACAAAAAAAAAAACAGACTATAAATACAAATACAAGAGTGTGTACATGTGTGAGGGTTTGTGTGTGTTTACGTGTAAAATACAATTCAAATCTTTTAAACAGATCAATGGTTTATTCCTCTTCAGATCTTTCTATATGTAAAAAATTGCTATCTCTTCCTGGCATCATTAATTAAATGAAGCCTTTATTCCCCCCCTCCCAATCTGCCAAACTCGTCTCCTGCCCACCTCCCCTCTGAATGTATACCTTTCCCAATGCATGCATTTTTAATATCTCCATCAGTATAACTTATTGAGGTAATTAAAGCACTTACAGAGACCCGTCGGGTGCATGTTCTTTAGGGTGTCTGTGAACATGCATGTAGGGATGGGCTAGCAAAAGTGTTATGGGGCAATGGAATGGCTCTCATGGTAAGAGAATGGCACACAAACAGTGTTGCTTACTACAGTGTGAGTTTGTTGGCGATTCTGAGTAAATTTGAATTTAATTTCAAATTTAAAACATAAAAATTGCCAAATTGGAAACATTCTCTCAATCCGCTATTTTGAAATTCACAGTGAAATCACTTTTAATCTGGACAATCGGTGAGTAATTTGGGATTGTTTTTGCTTTGAGAATCTATATTTCATGCTATACTTTGATCCGTCTATGGGATGTGAAAGCAATCTATAGCAGTGGTAATCCATGAAATAGTGAAGACCTACCTGTGGACGCTGTTACTAATGTTGATGCCTGTATCTGGGGGCTCACTGTATGCCATGTCTGGGGGATTACCCAATATGGCCAAACAGTGTAATCAAATACCTCTGTTTGGGTGATTATAGCCCTATAAGATACATTTCATGAACATGGTGTGCTCAATCCATTTAATGTGTCTGGGGGTGCTGAGTCAATTTAATGTTTCTGGAGGTGCTCAGTCCCAGTATCTTGGGGTGCTCAGTCCCTGTATCTGGGAGTGCTCAGTCCATTTAATGTGTCTGGGGGAGCTCAGTCCATACCATGTATCTGGGGGTGCTCAATCCATTTAATGTGTCTGGGGGTGCTCAGTCCATACCATGTGTCTGGGGGTGCTCAATCCATTTAATGTGTCTGGGGGTGCTCAGCCCCTGTATCTGGGGGTGCTCAGTCCCTGTATCTGTGGGTGCTCAGTTCATACCACGTGTCTGGGGGTGCTCAGTCCACACCATGTATCTGGGGGTGCTCAGTCCATACCATGTATCTGGGGGTGCTCAATCCATTTAATGTGTCTGGGGGTGCTCAGTCCCTGTATCTGTGGGTGCTCAGTTCATATCACCGCTCAGCCCATGACATTTATCTGGGGGTGCTTGGTTCATGTGCTCTAACCAGCAGGGCACAGTTTATATTTTAGTGTATATTCTGGAGTGTGCAGTGTAGATTTTGGGGTACTCATTGTATATTTCAGGTATTTAGTGTATATTTTGGGGTGTACATTTATTGCATATTTTGAGGTGTGCAGTTACTGTATATGTTGAGGTGTGCAGTTACTGTATATGTTGGGGGGTGCAGTTAGTGTATATGTTGGGGTGTACAGTTAGTGTATATGTTGGGGAGTGCAGTTAGTGAATATTTTGAGTTATAGTGTAAAGTGTGAGTATTTGAAAGAACCAGGTCACACAAGGCTCTTGCTGTGTAGTTACAGTAACCAGCATGCTATCCCTGTCTGTTTTACTGACCTTGCCAGCAATACTGTGCAGCGGACTCCAGAGACCCCTTATTCCAGCATCACAGACTATGGTGGTCTCCCCTTCACATTCCATGACAACTATATGGTCCATATATAGTGAGTGCCCCCTGTCCGGCCCGGCCCCCCTACAGGGGGTATGTATAGTGAGTGCCCCCTGTCCAGCCTGGACCCCCTACACAGGGTCAATATATAGTGAGTGCCCCCTGTCCAGCCCGGCCCCCCTACACAGGGTCAATATATAGTGAGTGCCCCCTGTCCAGTCGGCCCCCCTACAGAGGGTCAATATATAGTGAGTGCCCTCTGTCCAGCCCGGCCCCCTTATATTGACTGCCCCCCTATACTGACTGCCCCCTTATACTGACTGCCCCC